TTCAGCTTTCACCTGGTTTGTGTTACAAATAAAAATATGGAAGCGACTGACTTACCTAATCTAGGCTGCAATTAGGAATTTCCAAACGAATCCAAAAATGTGTAATAAAAGTAAAAAACAAAATCGCACATTATTAGCTCACAGATAATATAAAGATTACCGTTTTAGTAAGTAACCTTTCAGAGGTCCTTGGCATACAATAGTTGCGACAGACAAGAAAATAAAAACATCGACACACGTGTTGTAGATAATTTACAATATGTGAATAATATTGTCGTCGATAAACGTGTAATTGGACGTAAACTTGGGTACCTTTATGGTCTTTATCTTTATTCATCTTTGATTTAGTTAAATATTAATATTATTTAATAATATTTTCAGACATCTAACACACAACGCCATCTAGTTTCTAAGCAGAGCTTGTACTATGAAAACTACTTTGACTGATAGAATACTTATTTACTCTTCTTTTCTTTTCTTGTAAATACACACATATTTTACATAGAAAACACCCAAACTCCGAAACAAACATTTGCAGATTACACAAACATTTGGTCCGACCCGGGAATCGAACCCGAGACCCCAGCACAGTAGTCGCATACTGCACCAGCGAGGCAGTCAGTTATTAACTATCGGTGCCGAATTTCTTCTTCTGTGTTATATGTGTACGAGTTGTTATACGAGGCATGTATTTTAAGTTTTGTCGTTTGAAGAAAAAACACAACTAGAACCTTATAGTACTTTTTATTGTTTTTCAAAGTATTTACCACGTAGCTTAATACACCATTAATTCCATTCGCTCAAACCAGTTATTATAACATTTATTCCACTCTAAAGTGGGGGTGTTCAAAATGGCTGACTTGAAAGCGTCGACTGCTTCTTCACCGGACTGGAACCTTTGACCACGAAGACTTTTCTTAATTTTAGGAAATGTAAAGAGATCGTCAGGGCTTAGGTCAGGACTGTATGGAGGATGGTCAAGAATTTCTACTTTTTTCCTGCTTCAAATACTCAATCGTTTGACGAGCGCTGTGTGAGCTTGCGTTGTCGTGGTGCGTGGTGCTTTGAGTTAGATTTTCGAAGTTCGGCGATGACTTGTGGTAAACAAACTGCGTTAACCGTACGATCTTCAAGTGCAATAGTCGCAACATGGCCGGTTTTTCCAACGAACGTGACCACCATCTTCTTTGAAGTGCTTCGAGAACGAACAACTTTAGTCGGGTTTGGCTCGTCTTGAAAGACCCAGATTGTAGATTGTTGTTTGGAATCAGGATCGTAGACATAGATACAAGATTCGTCACCACTGATGATGTCCTAGACGTGATTTGACTCTCCTCGGTTGAACCTTTGCAGAGTTTTCTTACACCACCTGACGCGGGCCGCCTTGTGATTGTCGGAAAGCAGATGCGGTATCCAATGGCAAACTAACTTTCTTACACCAAGCGCTTCATGCAAGATCTTCTGAATGGTTGTCCCTCAGATGCCTAATAGAGCCTCTATCTATCGATACGTCCACATGACGATCTTCGAGAAGTAGTTGTCTCACAGAAATGATGTTATCTTCAGTGAAGGCGGATTTTGGGCGTCCTTCGAGAGATTTATCACTAACACTAGTATGTCCACGCTGGAATTCTAAATACCAGCGTTCGGCAGTCCGCAGACATGGGGCTTCATCACTGAACACATATGTTAGCTCTTCAAAACACTGAAGCCGTGTCAGGCCTCTTCTAAAGTTGTAGAAAATTATTGCACGAACATTTTCCTTAGAAGGATTCATTGTCGTACGTAACCTGACAGATTGCAAGCGACGGTGTGACTAAACAATAACATTAATCCTAATACTTTCAACTGTTTTGAGATTCAAAATTTAAACACATTCGAATATAGAACAATTCAAAATTGCCGGGAAATATGGCAGCGACAGAACTTAAAAGGCATGCCTAGTAGGTATATTATTATATGAGTATGACGATTTCACAATTGCCGTCCTGCATGGGTCCGAGTGTTGGCCAACAAAGAGAATGGATGAGAGACGCCTGCAGGCAGCTGTTAATACAAATGTTAATAATACGGTGTGTCACCACCCCTATTCATCCCGAAGGTGTCGTAAGAGACGACTAAGGGAACAAACTACGCAGGACAACAGCACTGCAAAGAGAAGGAAAACTTGAAACAAACCCTATTACCAACCCGCCTGGCCCTCGTGGTATAGTAGGCCAAATCGTTCTTTCTAAGGAGAGGCCTATGTCCAGCAGTGGACTGTTAAAGGCTGTTGATGATGAAGTTGGCAAATCGACGGATAGGTTGCTTTTTTGGGCCTATAATTAAATAATCGGCCAAAACACGAAATATCGGCGTATAGTGATCTTTCTCAGGCTCATCTCGAACAGCTTGTGGACGTCAAGAGATTGTTACAATTGCTTATACAAATATAAACACTACAATTAACAGTTCTGCTTAAGTTGGTAAATCATAAACGTGACAAGTGACAAGCAAATCATTACCATATGCATGTAATAATGTAAAGTATACCAGGACTAGTGTCACCACCCCTATTCATTCCGTAGGTGTTGTGAGAGCCGACTAAGGGAGCAAACTACGCAGGTCAACAGCACTGCAAAGAGGAGATCTTGACACAAACCTTATACCAACCCGTCCGGCCAGCGTGTTATATTAGGTCAAACCTCCTTTCTAAGGAGAGCCCTATGTCGTCCAGCAGTGGTCTATTAAAGACTGATGATGATACCAGAACTCCATATTTTGTCTAAAAGTTTATATTTTTACCTATTACTTAAAAGCAGGTTTTAGAACACAAGATAAACGTTATTGGTAAATTAACCTAACACACTAAATATTTAAACCAACCGTTAAATTCAGTGTGGGAAAATACAAAAGTATAATTAACTAGTCACAATAGCGCAAAAACAACTGGACTTCATCACAATACTTGCTATTATATACCTAGTTTCATGGTACAGTTTCGATTTTATATATTACTAGCTACAGCCCGTGGCTCCGCCCCCGTGTATGTCGGTTATCGCGGTTAAAAGTAGCCTATATTACTTGCTGATAATGTAGATTTCCATTGGTAAAATAATTTTTTAAATCGGTTTAGTGGTTTAGGTATGAAAGCCAAACAAAAAAACTTTCACATTTATAATTTGTGTAAGTATGAAAGTGTGGATATGGATGCACACTCAGTGTCATTCAGATTTTTCTTCATAAATTTAAAAAAATCCGTTATAAAATTGTGTTCGACTAAGGTGTGTGAACAGACCTTGCCACAATTAGACACAAACTTTATGAACCATTCCTGATGATTATAAAATTAAAAAGCAGAGCTGAAAGGCTAAAAAAGTAAAACTTGGTTAATAGGGTAAACGAATGTCAATGTTAGCTTGGACAATCAGAAAAAAAGTCAAGTGCGTTCCCACGAAAAGCGATGCGAAGGCCGTTACTTTAATCAGACTTGTGTGACAGTACATAGGTTACGTTGTACAACAACAACCACCTACTTAATCATATAATAATTGACTGGAACCTCTCGAACAGCGCCAATAAAGACACCGCCAAGTTCACTATTGAACACATTACATATATTATAGGTATACATGAACTTTTATGGCAACTTGGTAAAATTACTCATTTATCCGTGTACTGAGCCATGTCTACATAAATTTCGGAGCGGTAGCTTGCGTCATACGCTTCGAATGAACTTCATACGCATTAAGAAACAAGATTACAATTTAAAGATAATTCTTAAGAAATACGTATTTATGAAGACAAAATAAATGTATTTTCACAAATAATGTTTTGATCACGTTTTTAAACATAGAATACAGTGCGAAACATAGAACTAGATTCTGTGGTATATATTTACATTAACATGTTGATTGAGATGCTAATGCTTTGCGTTTTTATAACTGTTCCTATCTTTAAACCTAATATTTATTACATATATATACGAGATATGTGTATATATTAGGTCTTTACCTATGAAATTGCCGTTTTGTATGCAATAAATGAAAGTACTTATTTTTTCAAACTTTTTTATTTCTGTTATTCGAAGTAATCACCCATGCAATCGACGCATCTTTGCCAACGCATTGGCAGTTTATTGATGCCGTTCTTGTAAAAATCAGCTGGACGGGAGACAACAAACTCTTCAAAGGCATTTTGTACTGCCTCTCGGGAATTGAATTTTTTATCCACTAAAAAGTTGTCTAAATTTTGGAAAATGTAATAGTCAGTAGGTGCAAGGCCTTGCACCTACCGACTATATAAGTACTTTCACTTATTGCATATCAAACGGCAATTTCATAGGTAAAGACCTATTTATGTAACCTAATATGTATTACATATATATTACAGATATATACAGTGTATGAAGTTCGCTGAGAAGATAACACTATAGCTAAAAATCTCTTTAATTATATAGATTCGCCTCCTATCGCGTGACTAAACATGCATAAATTTTAACAACCAGTCAGACTTTAATCGGATATAACTTCTCTCGACTACTCAAGAAAGTTGATGTTCGGTTTTTAAGATTACATTCCTTAATTCGTAGATAGCGTTTGTAAATAGCTAAACTCAATATATCAACGAAACTATTCCAAAACCTCAGCGATCTGCTGATAACCATACTTATATTACACATTATTATATATTTACATAATAATACATATAATAATAATATATATACGAAGATAGATATACCATAGAAAACTGGTCCAGCAGATTTGGTTTAACCGTGAACCCAGCCAAATGTCAGGCAATTTTTATAGGAAGTCCTAGAATGACGGGTAGAATTGATACTGATGCTATCGCAGATATTATTTTTGATGGAACTGTGTTGCCCATTAGCCAATCAGTCAAGGATCTCTGTCTGCACATAGACCCAACCCTAAGGCCTCATTTACGGAGACGCGGGGCGTCGCGATCCCGTTGTGCAACGCGGCTCGCACTAAATTCAAACATATGGCGTTGTATGAGTGCGTTTACGGAGAAGCGTTTTTACACGCGTTTGTTTGAAATCGAGCGTGTTTTGAGGCAGAGCCCGCAGCGGCACAAGCAGCAGTGCCCGCGGCGGTGACCGCGGCGGCGAACGCGACATCTATTCTCGATGAAGCGATGCCCGCGGCGGAACCTTCCGCCAGTCTTATTTGGAAATCACAAAACGCAGACGTATTCACCGTCACAATGGAGAACGATATGATCGACTTTTTTTTAGAAGAAAATTCTGAATTAGAAAAAGTGAATTAGATTATTAGTGATTAGACAAAGACAAACATATAAACATGCGATGGCGGGCCAGTGTTGACTACCATTTAAAATCTTACCCATAATTATTATATCGTGTACTGATTTTTGTAATTAATTTGCATTTTTATAACCGAACAAATTTTGTAATTAAATAAATAAACTGACTGACTGACGCTATCGTAATAATAATAATTAGTCAAATGTGTTTTGTAAATTAGCAGAGGTCTGATTACATGATATAAAATCAAATGATTAATCACATGTGATTGTGATTTTATTCCATTCCTAGTTTTGATTTTTGATTGAGTACCTGCCCCGCGGGCACCGCTACTATTCCGGTGTCGCATCTCTATGAACAACGTCGTATATTGCCGCTTCACGCGCCGCCTCTCCGTAAACACAAAAAACGTCAGACGCGCCGCGAGACGCCACGCCGCACGCGACGCACAACGCCCCGCGTTTCCGTAAATGAGGCCTAAATTAGCAAGCGCAGGTAATTAGCGTTAGTCAGAAGGTAACGAATATTTTGAGGGGACTTTACCGCCTGAAAAATTTACTCCTAGTGAAAACAAAAACGATGCTGGTGCAGACCTTAATTTTCCCAATCATCGACTATGGTGATATGCGTTACCTCGACCTGAATGGAGATCTGCTCAATAAATTAGACCAACTTCTCAACAATTGCATTCGGTTCATATTCAACCTGCGAAAGTACGATCATGTATCCGATTATCGCAGGCAATTGTCATCGCTACCTATAAGACAGCGCCGCAGCTTGCGGGCGCTGACTATGTTGAACTCCCTTCTCCACACACCTGCTTACTAAACATCCCACCTGCAATATCTCTGCTCCAACCATGACAGAAGCCTTCGCTCCGCTGATAATTTCCTCCTTCTTTGTCCTTCACATAACGCTCGTATCGTACATTCTTCCTTCACTGTCCAAGCGGTAAATCTTTGGAACACCCTGCCCCTAGAGATCAGCGCCTCAATTCTACTATTTTATGTTCACACCAAGCCACTGTCATACCACTGACACGCTATTGAGATGCCATCGAGTGGCCATTGGCATCGGTATAAATATCGGTAGTATATTTTCAAATTATAAGGAAATGATTTATTATTATATATACTTAAAAATAAGGCCTATGTCCAGCAGTGGACTATTAAAGGCTGTTGATGATGATGATGATAATTTATTACGTTTTTTTGAGGAAATGATTTATTTATTTTTCCAAATATGGCAATCTTTTTGATATCCCCACTGATGAGCCACTGCCATTCCATCGCCACTAAAAAGACACTGAGTGAGTGTAGACTACCGATATTTATACCGATGCCAATGGTCACGATGGCATCTCAATAGCGTGTCAGTGGTATGACAGTGGCTTGGCGTGAACATAAAATAGCAGAATTGGGGCCCTGGACGTCCACCAACCGAACAACCTTTAAGATCAGAGTACGCAAGCTCTATGGAGACTTGTTGACGAAGTCATCAAAATAACCCCTCGTGTGTTCATCAATGCAGGCATATGTGTATGGATGTATGTGTGTATGTTTATGTTTTTTTATATTTATAGTATTATATAGTACGTATAAATTATATTTACATGTATCCCCGTATATCTGTGTGGTATAACATCTTGCAACCGACTACAATTTAAATAATTTATCTCATTATACCCTGCCACACACAAATCTCTGCATCACCCCAAGGTTGGCTGGAAGAAAATGCCTATGGCATTAAGTCCGCCTTATGCAATGTATTTGCAGGAAGTATAAATAAATAAATAAATACTTATATACATTACTAACTTCATACTTAATATAGATTATTTACATGCATACCAGAACATAAGATCCTAGTTATCACACAAGTGGTTGTCCTCGGTTAAAGTCGAACCCACGACCTCTGGATCAGTAGTCAAAGTATCACTAACCACAATCGTCAATGAATGGAACATGATTTACCGAATGAAATCAAGGCTTGTGCAATTTCAACTGGAACAGTCCGAATCTCTCTGTTTCTCTTTTAAATAAATTTTAAACTTATGAGAAATGCAGACACAGTAGATAATACAAAAATAATTTTCAACTGTAACAGTCCGAATCTCTCTGTTTCTCTTTAAAATACATTTTGAACGTAGAGAAATGCAGACACAGTAGATAATACAAAAAATATTAACTACTTTTCTTAAATTTTACTTTGTGATAAATTAAGAAATGAAAGTTACTGATTTAAATAAATTTAAATGCATGAAAATAACAATATATTCTTTGTTATTTTCAAAACTACTGTATTTACACAGCTCCTATTATACATATATTTACATAATTTAACAGTTAGTACCAATCAAATGATGATAAATAAATAAACTCAGTACAATCAAGTCTGCTACGGAAGGCTAATAAGCTTCGGCAGTATTTTAAATTTATTTATATATTCTATTAATATTATATATAATAGTAATTGAGGTCTATGTTTTTGGCAACAAAATTTTAAGTTGTTTTTCTTTGTTTCGAAAATACTTTTTTATTCTATTGCAATATTTTTAAGTGTGAAATAAAATTGACCAACCTATTAAAATAAAGTCTTAGCACTAGATCAAAATTGACAAGTGGGACAGAAATTAATATCTATGCAATAGTTTCTTTTTAGTTATGATTTTTTTTACTTAGTTTCTTTTATTTTATTTAAGTTTTTAGTTATTTAACATTATACATTTATACAAAGCAGTTTTTAATATTATGTATCTACAATTAGCATTATATCTCCGAAAGGAGTTGTACAAGTAGGAGCGGTGGTCATTTTATTCACCTGGCACGACTCACCGCAATATGACTTATGGATAGGGATACCGTACAGTAACCCGTATCTGAGACACCGTTACTGCTCATTTCTCTTAGACGGGATTGTGTGTATAAGATATAATCATCCAAGATTGCATTTCTGAACACCAAAGCATCTATAAATATTTATATTTATTGGATGCTTATAAGTTACATTTAATGCACGTGATCCGGTGTCAGTACACTTGATTCACATCGCATAAAACTTTATAAAATTGGCGAGGCTACCTCGTTAATAATGTTTATGGGGAAAATAAAATTGTATATGTATTATTAAGTAATGATTATTCTAATGTAATTAATATAAGTACTCTGGGTATATGATATCCTATTATGTTATATTTTTCATAAAATCACATTTTAAATTTCTGTGCATCTACCATGTTTTATCTCTGTATCGCCCCTAGGTTGACTGGGAGATAATGCCTACGGCATTAAGTCCGTCTTTGTCACGTTTGTGTATAAAGTATAAATAAATAAAATAAAGTGTTAGGGCTTTGTGTTTGCCACTTCAACTAATATTAATTGGTGATGTGAAAGTAAGAAAGAAATTTATTTTGAGCTTATACGCAGCGACACGATATAAGAGACACAACATGATTAAATTTACAACTTTATACAATAATACCTTTTATAGGTGTCAAAAAAAGGTTGTTAATGTTTCATCGTAATTAGTTTCAAACTTCGTCCAGTCTTTCGACGAAAAAAAAAAAAAAAAAATTTTTCAAATTCGATTGATAGTTCCGAAACCTATATATATATAGTTCATGTTAGGAAGTTCTAGGTCTTAAAGAAAGGTATAATATACTAATAATAACATACGTCCTCGGTAGAAGTAGGAAATAGCTTTTGATAAGCTAACTTTCAGTAGCAGTCTTTGAGCTCTTTCACGGTTATCATTATGGTTTGCCATCTCCTCCCAAATTAGTGATGATGATGCAATAGGATATTATTGACTGCACTAAGACCTCGTATACCAATTTTACAGTCCGCTTGTCTGCTACTTCACGTAATAATATATATTATTAATATTGGAGATAATTTTAGACTTTGCCCGGATATCCGGTATTTTTTTAACAGGACTAAACCCACACGCAGGTTTTCGTACATCTGGTACGTAAATTTTATTATGGCAGAACAACACAAAATTTCAATAATGTTGTTTTCTATAACTATACTATAATTACGGGAAACAATTTAATTAAAGTTACAGGAAACATTCAGGGATTAACCTAAACACAAAACCACAACAGTAACCGGGTTAATTTTGGTTATCACTGGCTTTTGAGTCATGTATTTATTTTCTTGAATAGTTAGTGCACTGCAGCCAGTACGACTTTTTTATTGAGAATAACGTAAGCGGTGACATCTAGCGGTGAGTAGCACAAAATCGTTACACCAGTTTTACTTAACCTACTAGTTGAAACTCAGACCTACTAGATGTCGCTAGTACAGGGTGCTCCTAATATAAATTACTATTATACGTCTTTGAAATGTTACTGAACACAACTTACATCACTTTAATTTAATGTATTTAGAAATATCACTACATTTTAAAGAACACATAAAGAATCGTAACTCTGAAGATGGTTTAAAATAATAATTGTGTAATAAACAGGAAATTGAAGTTTTTGGGTTTATGAACATAATACGACAAAAACATAATCTGATCATGTAAATATAGATTACATAACACTGTTGGTTATTAGAATAAGAAATTTCTGTTCTGATTACGTTGGCAAACTACAGAGCTTAACAAATTAGAAAGCGTGAGGGACTGTGGTGTCGACGCAGTTGTCGCAAATGCATGCTAAATAACTCATACACAAAAATCCATCTATTTGACGAATTGCGCAGAAATAATTCTTGGAATTCACGTCCACTATGATGACATTTCGTGCCTGTTATATTCTAATGTCTCGTTTTTAGGGTTCCGTACCTCCAAAGGAAAAACCATCATCATCATCACATATTCATCACTGTCTGTCAAGACCCATTATTTTAGTACCGCGTGGGGAGGTATAGAGTTAAATTTAAACCATATGCTCAGTCTACTTGAAGCTGTAATTAATTAAGATAATGTAAAAAAGACACGACCGTTTATTCCGCAAAAAAACGCATATTTCAAGTACATTAAAATTTGGACCTAAAGAAGAAGAAACCTTCGATTAGTTTTGTATAGCTTGTTAGAATTTTTAAAGAACCCATTATTTTACTTCAGAGTTCAGAGT